AGAACAGTCCCTTCACAGAGAACAGTCCTTTCACCGAGAACAGTCCCTTCACAGAGAACAGTCCTTTCACCGAGAACAGTCCCTTCACAGAGAACAGTCGCTTTACAGAGAACAGTCCTTTCACCGTGAACAGTCCCTTCACAGAGAACAGTCCTTTCACAGAGAACAGTCCCTTCACAGAGAACAGTCCCTTCACAGAGAACAGTCCCTTCACCGAGAACAGTCCCTTCACAGAGAACAGTCCCTTCACAGAGAACAGTCCTTTCACCGAGAACAGTCACAGAGAACTTTCACCGAGAACAGTCCCTTCACAGAGAACAGTCCCTTCACAGAGAACAGTCCCTTCACAGAGAACAGTCCCTTCACAGAGAACAGTCCCTTCACAGAGAACAATCCCTTCACAGAGATCAGTCCCTTCACCGAGAACGGTCCCTTCACAGAGAACAGTCCCTTCACCGAGAACGGTCCCTTTACCGAGAACAGTCCCTTTACAGAGAACAGTCCCTTCACAGAGAACAGTCCCTTCACAGAGAACAGTCCCTTCACCGAGAACAGTCCCTTTACAGAGAACAGTCCCTTCACCGAGAACAGTCTCTTTGCTGTGCAGTCCCTTTACAGAGAACAGTCCTTTCACCGAGAACAGTCTCTTTGCTGTGCAGTCCCTTTACAGAGAACAGTCCCTTCACGGAGAACAGTCGCTTTACAGAGAACAGTCCTTTCACCGAGAACAGTCCCTTCTTTACCGAGAACAGTCCCTTCACAGAGAACAGTCCCTTCACAGAGAACAGTCCCTTTACAGAGAACAGTCCTTTTACCGAGAACAGTCTCTTTGCTGTGCAGTCCCTGCGGTCATGCGGAGCACGTCAGCAGAACGTACTGCGCCTACACAGAACCCTGTATTTTTACGGTTTTCGTTGGATTTTTGGTCAACGTTGCATCAAAATTTTGCCTGTTGCAGAAGACATCTTTTCCGACATAACATTTGGAAACTACAGACGGGGTGTTAACCTTATATACGCGAATACAACCTTATATGAGACGTTCTACCAAAGTGCTATGCACAATACATTACGGGATTCACGCAGGTGCAGTACGTTCTGCCGACGTGCTGTCATGCGGTCTCATGCGGTTTATATATTTATATATTTATATATATAAGTATATATCGCCAGGGCATGCGGTCTCATTCAACAAACTAAACAGCTTGCAAATGGAGCCAAGCGTCTTTATACGATATCATACAATAGGGCCTTACAACCAAAAAGACGGGGGTTGACACAGAAGATAATCTCCAAGCAAATTTGGTGGAGCAAGGGGACTTTATGTATTCTTTATGTATCCATCGTCCGCCACGGCTGTTTCGTGCCAAAGGGGACTTGTACAGTTGAAAATGTATTTATATTGGAAATTACAGTTTAAACTTGCTTCATAATCTTTCTGATCAGATAAAAATCTTGCACCTCCCAATCTGTACCTCCTCTCTTACTAGTGAGGCATAAAACAATGTTATTCTGGAGGTCGTTTTTGAGTACCCTCTTTTGTGTCTCTGTAGAAGTGCCTGGTGGAAGCAGCATCATCTTGGTCGATGAGTCAGGGACTGGAAACCTGCGCGGCGCACGCGGAGTCGCAGTTTCCCCCGACAACAAGATCTGGGTGGCTGACCAGACCAAAGCCAGTCTCCAGGTGTACAGTATGGCAGGTGACTACCTGGGCCAGTTTCCACAAGGTGCAGCAGGGATGGGGTATCCCTCGTCAAAGACGACATATGATGTGTCCATCGACAGAGATGGTCACCTGTGGGTCTTGATGAGTGGGTACCCAGCCAGCCCTGATACCGTGGTGCAGGTGGACAGGGAAGGTCGTCTCAAAGCCAAGTTTGACCTTCCTGACTCTGTACCACGGGAGGCGCCCCGCGGAATGGCTGTGGGCTTGCGCACTAACCACGTTTACGTCACCTGGTCTGGCGGTTACAGTGGTGGTGTGCAAGCCTTCCAGCCGGACGGGTCGCTGCTGTGGGAAGTCGGTCCTCAGCAGCGGATGATGACACCGATGTACGTCGCCGTGAACGGGGAAGGCAACATCTTCATCTCGGACTTTAGGCGCCATTTCATCTACATGTATGATGATAACGGACAGTTCAAGTTGAAGTTCAGAGGACTGGGTCGCAGTGGGAGCAACCTGCTTTATCCTGAAGGCATTTGTGCGGACAGTTCCGGTCACATCATGGTGGTGGACCCAGACAACCAGCGCGTGGTGGTGTACACAGACCAGGGTGAGTATGTCCGCCACATCGCCGTCCCCCGCCGGGCTGAAGCCCCAGGAGATGTTACAGTGGGGCCGGGAGGACAGCTGGTTGTGATCAACAAAAACACAATCACTGTCTTCCCCCACTACTGATAATGATGCACACGGACGGCCATTGTTGGATTGGGAATGGTTATAGCTGTAGCATTTAATTGGTCATGTTTGGTCTCCTTACATTGTATGTTAAATGCCACATTTCCCGGGGCCCAAAAGTGCCGTTTCTTCTACCTCGCTGCAATTTCACGTAATAAAATTATACAACGAAACATCTTTAATATCAGAATATTACTTCTAATTTCATTTCTTAACTTTGAACACCTGTAGATATCAAAGTAAGATATTTCTGACGTTTTTCCTTTCTTTCCCGAAGTCTACGTTTTAAACTACGTATTTGTGTAAGGAAACCTCAATTCAGCACTTGTGCTGCAAAGGTTTTTTATGTTGAATAAACCATATTCTCTCTCTCTTCCCCTGCCATCTGATCAAGTGGCCCGAAAAATCCGTAAAATTGTAGGTTGGAATTAAATGCTTTTTGGATACCAGCAATTAAAATTGTTTTGGGGGCCCTTTTCAGACACACATGATTTGCCTCACTGAACTTGATTCATACTTTTGTCATACATCACTTTATAATGATGATATGATTTGGGACTTGATGACTTCCTTAAAAATAAAATTGTATTTTTTTTTTACTTCCTTGACTCAACACAAAATCCATGGCCAGAATGACCTACATTAAATATGGGAGCGCCTTGGGATAATCTATTTATGCGTGGAAATTTTAGTTGCTTCATTTGTGCAAAGGGTTGGTATGTAAGAGTCAATTTTTAAACACAGAGGACTGGTATATGCTGTATCTGTTTGCAAATGTCCGCCCATTTTGTCTTTCTTTTTTTTTGTATTTTTCAATCCAGTTGTACATGTATGATGTGAAGTGTAAGAGCCAGTTGACTTTCAATACTGTCACCAGTGGTCCTGAACGTAAACTTATACTTTTGTCGGTCTTTTGGTAAAAATACTTTCCACAAGTTTCGTTCCTCTTGGTCTATGGCTCCACTACCTCACTACTTTAACCTAGAAGAAGACTATGGTGACCGGAAGTTGGTCAGGGCGATTCATTGGAAAACAGTCACCGTACTGTCTAAGTTTGAGTTTAGTATTGACGTGGATGAACGTTAAGTGGAATGGGTACGTAGCTATTCAAAATAATTTTTGAAAGTAAACTTGCACTTACCAACTTACACATCCATTTGGTACTTAATGAAACGTTTTTTTTTTATCGAACAGAAAGAAATAAATCTCAAGTTTTATAGACTGTTGGTCCAAATGTGACAAGTAAAATTCCATTTTCAGTCATTTTTGAGAGTTGAAAATGTAAGACTTTAGCGCCGACTGAATATCAGAATTAATTCTATCTGGTAATGAGTAATTAGGTAAGTAATAACAAAATCAAACTTAAAACATGTCTTATCATGTACGCTTTGAAGTCTTCATTTGAGTAAAAGTAAACTAAAAAGTTAATTGCAATCTCGGGGTGACCATTAGAAATTCTTCTTGCATGTGTTTGTAAAGTTTATCTTTAGCAATTTTTCGTCGGGTCCCATGCCTTAGTTGAATTCTACACCTCATTGAAATTTTATATATCTGTAAGAACATTCATCTGTTCAAATCGTTTACCATGTAACATTGTAATATTTTTTCAACAGTTTATAGCAATTCGCCATTTTGTGTCATTATGATATTGAAGTTGTATAATTTAAGAGAATGATTTTATGTTGGTTTATATGTACCGGGCCAATATAACAAATATTCATGAAATGCACTTAAGTCCAGCTAATCAGAGTCATGGCACGGTTATTTCATTGTTTTAACGTCACTTGCTCAAAATTTCTGTTTCCAGCCTTTGTTAAACCACTAAATCCTTCACCAAGGAATAAAGCAATAAGAAAACACTATCCAATGGGACCT